GGGGGAAGCAACTGAATGTTTGTAAAAGGAAAAAAAAGAAAGCAGGATAAGAAATATGTGAATAACATGAATATCTGTTGAAAGAAGCAAGAAAAAACTTATCAGCTAACAAGGTTGTAGCCTGGAGGCTTACAAGAGCTGGAAAGCCTCCTAAGAATTAAAAAAAAATCAAGCTCCTAACAATAAAAATGGAACAGAAGTCTTTGAAGAGGCACTGTATGAAAATGTTGGCTTTAAGAAGAAATCGTACGTCCAGGATTTAGACACCCTGACATCTGTCATTGTAGGCAAAATCATGAAAACTTACAATTAATGTTAAAACCCACAAAATTGTCAGGAGAAGATGTGAGTGACAGGCTTAGTGCAGACTCTGATGTCCAAGAATGAACCACTTTTCTTCACCTTTTTGTTTTGGCATCACCACTGACTTTCCCCTAGAGAAGTGATGTAAAAGGTGGCATGACACAACAGCAGCACTACACAGCATAGGAGCACAGTGCTAGATTTAGAAAGAAAACCACTGAACTTGAACTGGTGGGTCAGCCAAGAGTAAAGCAACAACTGAAAAACTCTTCAGCACCACAAAAACTACAAAGGAACCTAGAGTTAAAAATTGTTGTTTGCAGGGAAAGGGAAAAATCAGCAATTCTTACTGGAACATCAACCTTGGAAGACAGAGGGATACAGGACATGAATCAACTCCTTCATTTCTGTACTAACATGAAATCCAGGGTGGCTGTTCAGAAAAAGTAATGTAATGAGGTGCCCAGAGGGAGGCTGAATTTCCCACCTTAATTAAGATTTAACGATTAAAAGTCTTCTACTTAAAGACCATGCAATAAATCTTCAGCTTAAATGTTATTTCCATCTTTACCAAGTATAAATGAAATAAATTAATAACAATTGCAGAGATTTATTGGAGAGTGGTAAGTCTCTGGTGTTGAAATTACCCAGAACAGAAGAGGGAAATACTCTGGAGGTAGTGGGAAAAAAGCTAGAGCACCTGCCCCTATAAAAGTGCCCCTGGGTATTTGAAAGAATCAGTCAGCTGAAATAACGTTTGTCAAGAGTTTTCTGGCAATGGAAAGGGGAACATTGTTATGGGACCTACCAACACAGAACATGTGCCAAAAGCCGTGTAAAATAGGTCTTGATACA